TGCTTCTAAATGCTTATAGCCCTTTTAATTCCTTACTTAAGTTCTTTCCTACTTTCCTTAAATACTTCAAGGGCTTTTGTAAGTTCCCATCCTCCTAGACTTTACATATGCTTCCTTTTCCTTTTTGACCAAGGTCATAACTTCCCTGATTATCCGAGCTTCACATAATTTGCCATACTCATCCTTCATTCTCGCAGGAAGGTACCGCTCCCGAACTTTTATCAACTGCCGTTTGAAATACTCCCACTTGTCCAATGTGGATTTACTTTCAAACAGCTGCCTCCAATCAACACTCTCCAGTTCCTACCTAATATTGTTATCATTCACCTTCCCCTAATTTAACACCTTCACCCGAGGACTGTTGTTATCACTATCCATGAGTAACTTAAAACTCATGGTATTATGGCCACTACTCCTGAAATGCTCCCCCACTGAAACTTCACTCACCTGGCCAAGCTCATTTCCCAAAACAAGGTCCAGTATAACTCCTTCCCTGGTTCAACTGATTACATACTAAACCAGCAGTGCACTAGGGTGAAGTGCCTGATGGTTATGTTCGTTGCCCTATTTCTAGCTGCACCCAGGTTGAAATTTACTTCAGTCCAACAGAATGAAAAATCAACTCTTTATTAAAAGTTTCTTAACAGTTTACAATAGTGCCATGTTGGATTCACATACAGAAAAGCCTTAAAAATGACTTATAAAGGGAAGTAACAAATATCACATTGAAAAGTGAATGGGAAAATTTGCTGTGAAGTTTTTTTCAACTGTTTATACAGGATGTACTATCTCTGGAGGGGGTGCAGAAGAGGTTCGCTAGGTTGGTTCCGAAGTTGAGGCAGTTGGCTTATGAGTAGACTGGGACTATACTCATTGGAATTTGGAAGAATGAGGGAACATATAAAATTACAAAAGGAATGGATAAGATAGAAACAGGGAGATTGTTTCCACTGGCAGGTGAAACTAGAGTTAGGGGGCATAGTCTCAAAATAAGGAGGAGCACATTTAGGACTGAGCTGAGGAGGAACTTCTTCATCCAAAGGGTTGTGAATTTGTGGAATTCCCTGCCCGGTAAAGCGGTTGAGGCTACCTTGTTGAATGTTTTTGAGGCAAAGGTAGATAGATTTTTGAACAGTAAAGGAATTAAGGGATATGGTGAACTGGCAGGTAAATGGAGCTGAGCCCACAAAAAAGATCAGCCATGATCTTATTGAATGGTGGAGCAGGCTCAACAGGCCAGATGGCCAACTCCTGCTCCTATTTCTTATGTTATTATGTTCTTATGTATTGTAGCCAATGCAGCATTGATTACCAGTTTGGGAAAAATCTTATCTTTTGATCATTTTTTGTGTGAAAACATTCCTTCCTGAGATTTGCCTTATCTAGTGCTTGTCTTGAGATAATGTCCACTTGCCTTGATTAACCTACAAATAGAAATGATCTTTCCACCTTTATCTTGGCTATTTTACCACTTTGAGCACTTCTGCATAGCTCATCTCCACTCCAAACTACCACCACACACACACACCCTGCCCCCACAAATCTGTTCACAATTTGTTTGATCTAGTCTCTCCATATATTTCAGCTATTCATTTGGTAACTTTCTCCAGGGCTAGTGTCATAAGATAATGATGGATGAAGAAAGACATTTGATACATCTTAATTCTTCCATCGGAAAGGAATTAAAATCCCGAATTGTGACATGTCATTATTTCTTAAACAATTTCAGGATTTCTTTTTCCTGCATGACAATGCCTGTAATTTTATTGAAAACACTAATCATTCCTTGTGTGAATAAGAATTTCCTGACATCAATCATACAGTTTCCATTTGCTTTTGTAAACTTATGTCCCCTTGTTCTACTGTCACAATTCAATTTAAATTGAAGTTACAGGATTCATCTTTCTTTTTATTAGCTGTGCTGTATAGCTCTGCATATCCTGTGTGGCATTGACTCTAGTGCTTTAGTACCTCCCTTGTGTTTCCATAATCAGCCTGGTTGTACCATTGGAGCAGAGCGCTACAACATTTACTGTATTATAATTTCCTGCAAATTATATTCAACATTCTATTGGCTATATTGATTACAGTTCTTTATAGTTGGACATTTAGATCATTCAGTCCAATAAAAATCTGAGATTGCTTTTCAGCTATTCAGCACCATCCATGGGATGCCCTATTTGCAGTTCTATAGACTAGATTCCATCAAACTTCACTTACTATTGTTTTACCAATGTACATAATTTATCTAATTCAAGCTACAATACTGAAGTTGTGTATTTCACTTCCAATGCCACTTCTAGCTTTCCATCATCTACAAATCAGACTGCATTACAGTGAGTTTAGATTTCAGGTCAATTATGTAAGTTGATAAAGTAGTTATCCCAATGTTAAGTTCTGGGGATACCTATCTAATTCCTTTATGGATTCTTGTTGTTACTGCTCTTTACCAAATTTCTTATCCATTCTGAAGGTTTAGCATGATTAATGCCTTTTATGAATTTAAATTTAAAACTTTATGTGGCTTTCCAGGATTGACAGGATATACATCATGTATCACTAGAGATTTATTAGTTTCAAGCCAACTTGGCCTCTCTAGAATTTAATCTCATTTATATTGCAGTCATTAATTTTGTCTGTTATCTTTGTTCGAGAATAGTATGTTGCTCATACCTTGTTTCGTAAATTCTTCGAGGAACCAATTGTTCCATGTCGTTACTACCTTGGGTACAGTCTCTGTTTCAAACCCCTTGCATCTTTCAAGGCATTCAGCTATCTTGCAATTGTGTAATTTAATTTTTTTATTGTTATATTCAACTTCTGTTGCTAAACTTCTTTCTTGGTTTCTATTTGCTCCCTCAATCGTCCTTCTGCCAAGTTCTTGAATTTTCTTTTGGTAATCTTAGTAAATCCGCTCTCCTTTTCTTTGAAGAATTTGTGGATCTTATTTTTCCACTTTGATTCTCTAGAATATGTTTGTTAATCTACTTGGAGTCAAATTCATATAGTATTAAGTTGTTGATTTTAAGCATTTAAGCATTCATTTATCCAATATAATCAATATGATAGTTTTAAAGGTTTTCCAGTATATATCATCTTATGTTTCTTGTTATCCAGCTTATGGTAGTACTGGACAAGGCAGATCCCAGTGTAAAACCAGGCTTGATAGATCATGAGTTTAATTTTCGCACTTGATTACTATGGTGGTTCTTCAACGAATATATTCATACAGGACTGTCAATATTTGACAAGAGAACACAAGTTTATAATATACACAAAAAGCAAAGCTATAAATAAATTAGACAGTTTAGAAAAATCTTAACGTAAACAGCATAACAAGGTTTCATCCTGTCTCCCAGCAATGTTCCATAAAGATACTCAATCCCAGTGAAGTCTCGTTCTTGCTGTAGCTTTTTAATATCTTACTTAACTGACTGTTTCCAGTTTGGATGGCCTACAGACTTCTTCCCAGTTCTGATGGCCTGAACCCCCTTTCACTTCTGACAATTTGAAAATGTCGATACAAACTCTCATAGCTTGGCAACCTAACAAACTAAAATCTTTCTGCTCAGGTGAAACTGTACTCCTGACTGAAACCTGATTCTGAATTCAAACTACCAGTTGCGCCTGGTCTGTTATCTCTACATGTCCTAAATATTCAACGTTGCAAACACTTCATCAGTTACCACACAGCCATCCTGCTAGGCTCTTAACCTAAAACTCATAACCTTTTTGGAAATGATGTCTTTAGTTTACTCTTCCAAATGACATTCTGACCTCTTTAAAAAAAAAATCATGTATCAGAACTGAAACCACATATGTATTTTCCCTCTATTTTGAAATCTAAATTCCCAAGTGATAATACAATATTATACTCCTTTATCACATGTTCTTGATTGGCTTCATCAGTCTGTTTGTTTTATTTGGTCTGTCACATTTTTTTTCAAATCTAGATGTTCTGGCTTTTTGACACATACAAAGGTTTGAGGAGTACTCACTGCCACCTTCGAGTGCACTGGAAAACTAATTTCCATAATGGGAAAAGAAATGGATGCGACCACACTTGCTGTGCATGGGTAAGTGAATCAGTCTGTGACATGGGGTGTCTGCCAGAACTACTGATGTTAGGGCTTAAGAGAAACAATATTGCACTCTACAGGGCACAGACCTGTGAGACCTCTATTCCAAGTATTTTATCTGAGCCATCAACTGTTATCTAAAAAGCATCGGCTACAGTAGAGAAGCAGTATTAATTAACTGTACAGTACAAACATTAAGGTATTAATTACCGGGTTAACCTTTTTTTTCTCTAAGTAGCCAAATCCCTGCGTTATAAATGGATGCAGTTCAATGTAGAGAAACAAATGCCCAAATTGTTATGGTCCAAAAAGCTAATTAGTGGAGAATAGAACTGGAGCCAATCAATTTACATTTACATATTCCTATTCATGTTGAGTTATACAATACAAACATCCACCTCCTAACCCAATCACCACACATTCAGCCTGTGTCTGTTTACAGTGAGTTTAGTGAATCGTAAGATAAAGCCCACCACCTTCATACAATTAAACACAAAGCATAATTAACAGATTATCTTGACTCAAATCTTTTTCTCCCCTTGTCCAGCCCCTTCCCACTTCTGACAACCCTTATTCCAGAATTTCCAGTTTGCGGGTTCTAGGCATGAACGTGCAATCCTTTACTTGTCCGACCTCCATCAGGATGGTCTCAGGGCTCCCTGCTTCTACTTGAACAAAGGTCTGAACCATCTCCATCCTCCACAACCCTCCTCTGCCTGACTGAGCTCATCCTACTTTAAACAACCTTTCCTTTAACTCCTCTCACTTTTTTCAGATCAAAGATGTGGCCATGGGTACCTGCATGGGACCCAGTTATGCCTGTTTGTTCGTGGGGCAGATGGAACATTCCTTGTTCCAATCCTACTCGGGTCCTTCCCCACAACTCTTTCTCTGGTATATTGGTGACATCATGGGTGCTGCTTCCATCTCTTGCCTGAAATTGGAAAAGTTTATCAATTTCGCTTCCAATTTTCCACTCTTACTTTCACCTGGTCCATCTCCAACTCCTCCTTTCCCCTCCTTGACATCTTTTCTTCCGCTTTGGGAACAGGCACTAATATCCACAGAAACTCACCAATTCCCTGAGTTACCTCGACTATACGTTCTCCCACCCTACTCCTGTAAAGACTCTACTCCATTCACGCTGTTTCTCTGTCTTTGTCGTACCTGTTCAGACGATACCAGCTTCTACAAGGGGGCCTCCAAAATGTCCACTTCCTTCTTCAACCGAGAATTCCCCACCACCACCGTGGTTGATAGGACCCTCAGTTGTGTCCGACCTATCTCCCATATTTTGGCCCTCACCACTCTCTTCCCTCCCACAACAGCAATGGGACCCCCTCATCTTCACGTACCATCCCACCAGCATCTGCATCCAAAGAATCATTAACTACTATTTTCATCACCTCTAATGGGATGCCACGACCACCAGACACAAGTTCCCCTCCATTCCCTTGTAAGCCTTCTGCAAGGACCGTTCCCTCTGGGACACCTTGGTCCATTTCTCCCAAGACCTCCCAACACCTCAGGCTTGCTGCAGTGCTCCAACAAAGCTCAGCATAAGCTGTAAGAACAGTACCTCATTTTCCACTTGGGGGCCCTGCAGTCTTCAGGACTCAATACTGAGTTCAACAATTTTATGAACTGAGCACCTGCTCCCATCTCCTTACCCCAACCCCCACCAACCAGACCTTGTCATCAAATGGGCTGCTACCCTAAACAACCCCTTGTCAATTACTAATAGTCCCCATTAGCAGCCAGTCGTTCTCCTAGTCTGACCTTTACTCCTTCCTTTGTCTGCCCAAATGGTTTACCCTCTCTCTGGGCTCTATCTGTACATATTGTTTACTCCACCCCCAAGCCCCCACCACCCCGTCTTCAACGTATATACCAACTTCTTCCCAGCTACAAACATTTCTGAAGAAGGGTCACTGGACCCAAAATGTTAACTCTGCTTTTTGCCCACAGATGTTGCCAGACTTACTGAATTTTTCCAGCAAATTCTGTTTTTGTTTCCCATTTCCATCCTCCACAGTTCTTTTTTTATATAGTTACAGATCCCCTTTTCTATGAAAAGACAAAATTTCTAAACAAATTAAATCAAAAACCTTCATATTATATTACATTGCAAATTTTACACTATTGGATGCCCCTCCCATGCAACCTCTAATAGTTTATTTGTTTTACCAAAAATACACATATAGTCAGCCATCTAATGAGTTGCACACACCTGTTTAATTTTCAAGATTTCCTTTCACTCCAGCATTTGTTTCAAATCATCAAGATCAATCTGTACATTTTTGTTACCCTGACATCCCACAATAGACTATTATCGAGATAATATCGATCTTCAGAATGACCATTGTACAGAACATGCAATGTCTGACAAAGAAAATTACGTTGCACCGTCTTCACAAGAGTCAGTACTATGGTAAGTCCCAACAATTTTCAATAATTATGAATTATTGTGCATATTTTAACAAGTGAGACAGTCATGGCAAAATGACTAATGCCATCTTAGTAGTATTCAGTTTTCTTTTGCTACCACAACATCTAGGTACAACTCTAACATCACCAGTTGAGATGTAGGCGGTCTGCTCAATGCTATGCCTCATTGCCTTGGCTAAATGTAACGGGCATCCTCTGAAAGCATGGGGCCCTGAGAGCTTCCATGCTGATGCAGCAGTAACGCCTCACATCTGCTTGCTAGAGCTATTGAGGTTAATGATGGAGGGGAAGAGGAGATGCCAACTAGTCCTGGAGTATCCTCTGCTGAAGACCTTGAAGTAGCTGACATGCAGTTCTGCTCCATCTGGGTCTGCGATTGCACATCTATTCCCCAGTGGGGAAGGGGCTGGTGAGGGTCCTCTCAGGGGTCTTATCATCCTGTGATTGAGTATTGAGCCCATGGCTGGAGAGATGGAATGCATGGCAGTGCACATATGACTCAAATACTTGTCTTATGGTTGCTATTGTTTCCCTGGATAAAGAATGCACTCAGATTTCTGGGTTTTTGCAAAACTCATGGTGCCTATGAACTTCAATATACAACGTTTCAAGTTCATTGGCTGTACATTCATTTTCTTATTCACTGTGATAAAGTTAAGATATAAATTAGTTTATTCTGTGACAAATTAAATGACATTTACTTGTAACCTTGTCTGTTTGGTTTGTGTAGGTGTATGGCACTGCATTTCCAGATTTGTCATCTCAATTATTTTTCAAATCTGCAGTTGAATTGGAAAGATGCAGCTGGGTCAAAGCTTTTACTTCCTCCTTCAAACAACGTTAAAGCTTTAAACAAAATACAAGAAAAAGGGCTGGTAAAACTCAACGGGTCAGTCAGAATCCATGGAAAGAAACAGTGATCATTTGACCTGGAAGGTTAACTCTAATTCAAACGCAATCTGCTGCAACTGATGTTGTTTTCTTCCCAACATTGTTTTAATTATATCTTTCAGATTTCCAGCATTGGCAGTGTTTTGTTTTAATAGAAAGACTTTGTTTATTTTCCTCATTTGTGACTTCTTACATTATGCAGAATCTTCTCAGTCCCTGAATAAGGTGAGCAATATGATATAATATTTAAGATTCTTCGAGGGCTTGACAGATTAGATACTGACCGATTGTTTTCCCTTTTGGGAAAGTCTAATACAATGGTCTTAGATTAAGGGGTTGCCCATTTAAAACAGAGATGAAGAGGATTTTGTTTTCTTTCTCAGTGGATAATGAATCTGACAAATCCTTTACCAAAGAGGGCTGTCAAGGCTGGGTTGCTATGTTCAAGACTGAAATAGACAGATTTTTATTCAGTGAGGGAATCAAGGGTTACAGGCAAAAGGCAGGAAAGTGGAGGTTTTTTTTAAAAAAATATACTTTATTGATAAAGATTTTCTACATGTACAAAGGTACTAAAACAGTTCTGTACAGTTTTTGCAAAGAAAAAAACAAACAACACATTGGAATTTGACATTCTTCAGATCTTCCCTGAAAGTGCAGTTGAGGAATATCAGATTATCCATGGTATCATTGAATGATGGAGCAGACTCGGTGGCCTATAGCTTAGGTCTTAAGGTCTGGAAAAATATGGCAAGACCAGCAGGAATGAGATTCTTGACATCAAGATAAAAAGTCTGATTCTGCAAAAAAATTTTGAACGGTGAGATGAGAATTTTGTAAGTGAGTAGCAAGATGCCCTTTTGCATGCAATTAGTAACTAATCTCAATTGGTTGGTATTCATTTTCCTATTCTCCTATGCAGAAGCTAAAGGCGACAGTTCATGACATGTAAGTCAGAGCAGATACATGACAACACCAGCTCACAGCTTGCCTTTCCAGACTTCCAGCAGACCCCAACGTTTAGGTTATGCTCTCAGCTGCCATTTACAGAATTTAGCATCGGACACACACCAACCTGATTGCATCAACTTGACACATCTCTGGACCACTTAGAATACATGCTTTACTTCAATACTGCACTTTGGAGCTTACCTGCCGTTTATTGTGATGTTGATGCCAGGATGTGCATGGACAATCACCCACTTCTTAGATTCAACCACACTGCTTCTCAGAGCTCCCCACTCCCTTTGCACCTACTAGGATGCCTTCCCTTGCCCTTTTGCACATTACCTCCTTATTCAGACTGAGAGGCTGTCTGTACTGTCTTGCCACCTCATTCAGATCTTACAGACTCACACTTCAGTCCTTCAGCCTTGTATTGGTTTTGGGCAAAGCCAGGCAGCTCATAACAATTGTCAGCAGTTATCAATAGAGGGGATGGACATCAGCTCTGAAGAAGAGCCATCTAGACTGGAAACATTAGCTTGCTGTCTCTCAAGGGATGCTGTCTGACCCACTGTGATCTTCAGCTATTGTTGTTTTCAGCGGGGGTGGACATGTTGGTGTACAATGCCATGCTATGTCAATGTTATCACTGCACCGTGTGCCAGCAGCTTCTATGGCAAACACGCTGTGGGTGCTTCAACCAATTGGCCACGTCTCAATGTCTAACGGCTGTAGTCCTGTTTCTGGCGAACGGAGATAATTGACAGGGTGGGTGGGGGAAGGGGCAGTTAGCTCAGTTCGTTGGATGGTTGGTCGACAATGCAGTGTGACACCAACAGCTTGGGTTCAATTCCCATACCAGCTGAGGACACCACAAAGATTGCAGCTTCTCAACCTTTGACTGAGTCATGGTGACCCTCAGGTTAAAATCACGACCAGTCGTCTTCCTCTCTCTCTCTCTCTCTCTCTCTCTCTAATGAGAGAGCAGCCCTATGGTCCTCTGGGACTCTGGGTGACTTTACCATTAACAATGACAAGATATGCCTTTGGCTCAGAGAAGAACGGTTAAATAAATGGCAAAAAGAAACAAAAAACTGCAGATGCTGAAAATCTGAAACAAAAACAGAAATTGCCAGAGAAGCTCAGCAGGTCTGGTAGCATCTGTGCAGAGAAAGCAGAATTAATGTCTCAAGTCCACTGACTCTTCATTGGAACGATTCTGATGAAGAATCACCAGACCCTAACCACATTTTTTCATGGATGCTGCCAGATCTGCTGAGTTTCTCCAGAAATTTCATCTTTGTTTAAATAAATGGATGAGATGGGAACATGAGAACGGTCAAAGCTAATTGCGTTTGACAAGAAGGGCAAGAAAGAAGGGAAAAGGAGGTTTTCGGGGGGTGGGTCACCTAGACTGAGAAGCTGAGCCTGTGAAACACCTCTTGAAATACGACTGCTGTTGCATTCCATCCTCATAAGAGTGCAGGAAAATTGCTGCCCCTATCCTCAGAGTGGATTTAGTAAGAGTTTCATTCTTGGAGGGAGGGGGTCCAGATTCGTATGATGTATGGGGCCTTAAAATGGCAATAGCAATAAACAGGCACCCATAGAAAGACATCTGTGATCACAAAGTGCTGTATGTGAACCTTACATGTTGACTTCCTGTGCCAACTAAAAACCCTGCCCCAAGTAACCCTGACCTCAATGTTTAACATTAAGAATCAGTCCTACTAATGGCTGAGATGCACAAGGAATGTATTGCAACCTGGACAGATCTACCCTGGGTGCCACCTTCCAAGGTGCTGCTCACTCCACACCATTATCCTATATGCAATACTGCCTTTCTTGGATACTGTGTTGACAAATTCAGCCAATTGCATGTGCATGCTAGAAGAAACCTTGGTACATTTTAATTTGGAAACCCTGGATTATGTGCAGTTTAGAATGCCGTAAGAGCACGGTAGATTTGTGTGCAACAGTCTGCGTTTATTCCAACAAAAGTTGTGCAACTTTCAGGCTTTCCACAAAACATTTAGGATTATAAATTGCAGAGAGTTTCAACATTTTTAAACATATGTTTAAGAAAGCATACCAAAAGATTGCATGGATATTTATACAGCTGAGCATTAGTCTAGTGGATTTAATTTATTATATAAGCAGACCAATAAGGCCTTAGCATCGCATCTTCAAAATCCAGACTGGTGTCAAGCAAGGCTTTGTGATAGTCCCCGTACAAGTTACGGTCTACCTGATATTCCTTAGTCACCTCAAAGATCAACTGCCCTCTAGTGTGAACATTAAAAACTGTCTAAATGGAAAACTGTTTAACCTTAGTCACCTGCATGCTGAAACTGAACTAAATACCACAGATACACATGACCTATATCATCTGTGGATGACTTGTGCATTCTGTACCAGATTTGCAAACAACTCTTGATCTCTTCATTTCTGCACACAAGTTACAGTCTATCCTTGAGTGTTGCCGAAACAAAGCCCCGAGACCAAGCCAGACCTGGTCAGTCAGTATTCCATCCTTCATAGATGCCAAAGGAGAGACTCTGGTGTATGTTCAGACTTTCCAAATCTGGACAGCGACCTGTCATAAGGCCAATATTGACCAGGAGTTTCGACTTTGGATCAGCTGGGCCACTTTAGTTCTAAACAAACTAAAGCAACAAGTTTTTTTTTGAACAATGAAAGACCACCTGGTAGCAACTAGGGCACTTTCACTTTTATCAAGTTCAACAATTTTATTAAATTTAGCTGAGACAACTTTGAACCTCTCTCTATATGTCAAAATAGCAACAAACTCTTAACAAACAAGGACAAGCAGCTTGTTAAAGATAACATTTATAGAGAATACCAGGCTACTGATATAATGCAGTGTGGAGCTGGAGGAACACAACAGGCCAGGCAGCATCAGAGGAGCAGGAAAGTTGACATTTTGGGTCGGGACTCTTGTCATTGTTAGTAAGCTGACCACTTCAGATGGAAGATGGATTAGAAGGAGAACAAAGGAAAACCTAGGGGAGAGTTCCCTAACACTGTGTCCGCCTTTCTTGCGCAGCAGAGCAGACACAGTTTGTGTAGTCAAACAAGCATGTAAAAATGGACTTTTTGTGCCATGAGGGTATAAATTTGAATTTAAAGCAACTTTCTGAGCTGTGAAAAGCTTGTTCCCAAAATACGGAAGTAAAAAATTTGACTGACGTCGAACTTGAGCTCAGAATTTGAAAATCATTTTAACAAGAGAAAGAGTATACAACAGGGAATCAAGAAAGATTTTAGTCTGTATGATTATAGAAGTGCTTTATTAATCTGGTGCCCCTCTTTAATCCTTCTGGTCTTAGAATGCCAAATGTGGTAAAATAATTTTGAGGAAGAGATATTTTACAAAGCACTGAAAAGTTTTAAGACAATTGAGTCAGAGAAAAGACAGTAAGAGATTTTTATTTTCAAAACATAACTTATGAAATTATTTGGAAGGTTCTTTACTTTTAGAATAAAGTACGTAAAATTATGACATGATGTCACTTGATAAATGTTTTGTTCCATCACTTTTCAGACCAGCAGAGAGTTAACTCTTTCTACTGACAGCATGATTTAAAATTAAAATTAATTATTATTTTTTTAAAGATTACCAACATCTTCCATATTGCTAGTTGAGTGGACATTACTAAATCTTAAATTTCTAAATTTACAATTATGTTTGGACATTATTGTTCCATTGGGCGTCTAACCAAAGCTACAGTGGGCTTTGCTCTTCTGTTTTAAGTAGATTGCAAGAGCCACCTATTAACTGATAACTCAGCAGGGGACTTAAGAGTTTTGCAGATTCAAGAGCTTACCTACAGACATCACGCAGTGCCTTTCAGCAATTTGACCTTGACCTAGTCTTGCCATTTGGGAACGAATATCTGAATTTCCCCAGCACTTCAATGCTGCAGGCTGTGATGTGTCAGTTTCAAAAATGTGACAAGGTTGGAAAAATGACATCTTTGATGTCGAGGAGTGGGCCATGATCAGACTAGGGATTCTGTTCATTGCAGATCTGGTGTTATGAGGGGCCATTGCTATTGTGGAGATGCTGGGAAAGGCAACTGTGGCGATGTGAGACAGCATACTGGTGTCTTCAGTCCAACTACCATCAGCTGCTTCAACAAATCTCAGTGGGAGGAATTCTACTCGAGAGTCGGGGAGTATAAATTCTGTCTCTTGCTAATCAAATGTGGTGTGTCTGAGATGGAAAAGGAATACTCTAAATCTCACCATCAGCAAGAAACCTATATAACTGCATTTGCGTTTCTTTAAAATTAAAGTATTGCATCTTATTAATTATTCAATTCACCGTACTAACATTCCCTTCCAAGTTAACCACTCCCAATTCAAGAAGCTTGAAGCTACAAAACCTCAACAGCAAAAACTGAGCTGTTGTGGAGTTGGGCCTGAACTCCCAGTCTGGCCACTCTCCTTCACTTCACTTTCGATGAAACCGCCACATCTGCAGCAGATGCCTCAGTGGTCACCGACCCTCCAACCTGCCGACTGGGCAATGCCAACGCATGACCATCAGTGCAGCAGCTCCCATGTGTGTGAGCAGGCTTCAGCAGCAATTTTACTCCTGGAGATGGTAGATCAGTGGGCAGGGATAGCCGGCAACGTCTAGTTGAGAGAAATTTTAGTGCAGAGGAAAAGGCAGGCAGCTTCTAGCTGAAAGGGAGATATCTAGTGACAAGGGAAAGGAGGCAGCTTGTGTCGTAGAATCATACAATCACTGCAGTGCAAAAGAGGCCATTCGGCCCATCAAGACTGCATTGACCCTCTGAGGAGCATCCACCCAGAGCCCGTAAACCCCATTTACCACGGCCAATCCACCTAGCCCGCACATCTTTGGACTGTGTGAGGAAACTGGAGCACCTGGAGGAAACCCACACAGACACGGGGAGAATGTGCAAACTCCACACAGACAGTCGCCTATAGCTGAAAGTAAACCCAGGTCCCTGTTCCTGTGAGGCAGCAGAGCTAACCACTGTGCCATCATGTTTTTAGCAAACAATCAAGACTAAATTTTGAAGTTGGGGATCCATAATGGTGCATGGCACAAAGTTGTGTCAACATTGCAAGTAGTGCATGTGCCAGCAGCTTACAAGGCTGACACATAGCACATGTCTGAAGTACAAGGCAATGTGTGAAAGGCAAAGAGAGGCTCCTTCAGTAGGATGAGCGTGAATTCCAGTCAGTCAGTGATACCACAACAGTCAGTCCAGGGACTGGGCATATTCTTGTCCAGGAAGTTCCGCCATGATCCAGCAGACTGTTGCTCCATCACACATCAGGGTATCTGTGCCATTGTCGGCCCCTTTCTCGAAGTCAGAGACAAAATCAGTTGGACTTTGCTGGCCGTTCAGTCAGGGTCAGGGTTGTGTTGCAAACTCAGTCTGGGCTATGGACCATAAGCTGCCAGGCTGGTGCCTTTAGGGAACAGGGGCTGATGGTGGGTCACATGTAATCTGGGAGATTTCTCAAGTCACAATGATGGGCATCAATTGGACATGGTAAGGTGGGACCAAACAGTTTATTGGAGGATACTTTATGATTTAAAAGAGGGGATTAAGGCAAATCCTGGTCATCCTGGCTTTGATATGGAGATGCTGCAGAGCCAGAGGGGGCATTGGTTACTCCAGGGGTAAAGTAGGTACATTAATGTTCACATAAAAAGGTTTGACTAAAACAGGAAGGGGTGAAGGGTCATTGGGGCATAGGGGTTTCAACACAAGAAGAAGTAGATGTTTTTTGGGTCATGGGTAAGCCACAAATCCCTGATATGAATGCAAGGTTGGGCAGTCACCATATTTATCTGAAAATAAACTATACAACAAGGTTTCAGAAAAAAAAACAGCATCCAATGTGAAAGGTGTAAGTAACTGTTCATTTCAGAGGGGATGGAGTGTGAAGCCTTTCAAGGGGACCACAGGAGGTATCAGGAATCCAATTACTGGCTAATGACACTGTTATAAAGCAGAGGTTGACCTCCCCACCCCCCCACTCTGAGAACTAAAACTGAAACGCCCAAAGAGGAGCGCCTCACCTTATCATCTGTAAAAAGAGTGTGAAAAGTGGTGTAACCTGCCTTTCAGCAACTTCTAGTGGTTAAATAAAACAAATCCCTGACACTCACTTTACCATCAGTAAGTACCAATTTAGCTATCTAACAGTGAACAAATTAACTAACCTATTAACAAACTGAATAAACCCTTTCTAACTGCTAACTACTCCCAAATAAAACAAAATTCTAATGATATGCTGTTCCAACAAACACAAGTCCCACTTATAAAAATAAAAAAAAAGAACTTAGTGTCTTGAAATTACAGCCAGGTTACGTGTCTTCCAGATAGTTAGCACAATGGACATCTGTCCTGGTCTAGCTGCCAGCTGATGACATTCCTCAGAACCATGGTGCTCGGTTCCATCAATGCCATTGGTGTCAAGAAGACTCAGGCACATGGCGGGCCCCAGTCTGAGTTGACCTCCATTTGGATGGAATTTCACAATGGCCCTGGGCCCTCCACCTCCCGAGGGAACCTGTGCTCCACAATCCGAAATGCCTCATAGAAATCCTTCAGTGGCTGCGTGGCTGGGGTTCAAAGACGCGCAAGCGCCAGGTATCAGAAAGCAGCTTCACACAAGGATTGGGGCGGAAGCTAGCACACAGGGGCAGCAAGTAATCAGGAAGGCTAATGGAACGTTGGCCTTTATTTCAAGAGGGTTTCTAGTATAAGAGTAATTGCAACTATAAAAGGTGCTGGTGGGACCAACATCTGGAGTACCATAGGCAGTTTTGGTCCCCTTATTTAAAGAGAGGCATTATTTCATTGGAGGCAGGTCCGAGTAGGTTCATTGGTATGAGCCCCTGTATGGAGAGATGTTTTATGAGCAAAGGCTGAACAGGTTGGGACTCCACTCACTGGAGTTTAGAAGAATGAGAGATGATCTCATTGAAACATGTAGGATTCTTATGGTGCTTGAGAGGATGCTGAGAGGATGTTCCCCCTCATGAGAGAGTCTGAGACCAGAGGGCACTGTCTCAGGACAAAGGGGTACCTTTATAAAGATTGGAAAAAAGAGGAGCTTCTTTGAGAGAGTCATGAGTCTTTGGAACTCTTTGTCACAGAGAGCTGTAGGGACACAGCCATTGTGTATACTTAAAGCTGAGACAGATAGATTCTTGATCAGTCAGGGAATCAAGGGCTATAGGGAAAAGGTAGGAAAGTGGATGTGAGGAATTTTGGATTGGCTATGATCCTATTGAATGGCAGAGCAGGCTCAAGGGGCCGAATTGCCTACTCCTGTTTCCAATTCTTATGGTTTTATGGTATCCCAGATGTCCTGGCAGTGGTGACCACTTCCTCCTAAGGTGAGTTGGAGAATAGGATGAGCTGGGCACCATAGGACATTGTGTATGGTTCATGAGGTGAAGTTAGGAACCATAGTGTAAGAAAACTTGCTAGATCCCATGAAAAGAAACCCTATGTGAAAGCCATCTAAAATGACACATTGCCAATTTCTGGTGGAATTCAGCCTGTGGTCTCTGACGTCATGAGAGAATGTTTAAGAGTACACTATGCTCTGATTGCCATCTTGTGATGTGAGGTCAACTTGACTCAATGAAAGAAAGTCCATTTAGTCAATACCTCATCTTCTCATTTGGCCAAAGGGCACAATCTCAAGTGGTGAGCACCAAACATTAGAACTGTAATGTCCTTGCACACAAGACAGAGCCTGTTGGCACTGCTGTACTGAAGTGGGCAAGACCAGTTGGAGGGGCAGCCTCCTGACAGTTGACTCATGCCAGCAAACGCTTTATTGGATCACCTTATATGAGGTCAGGATGACGAATGAACATGGGAAGTTTAGTGTCAGAAATTAGGGAAATGCTGCAGTTAAAAAAATGTCTCCCAGCTTCTGTGAGGTTGGTGACAAGAACATATCCTCCATATATTGTTAAATCAATAGTGGTACATTTGACTTGGTTCCTTGCACAGGTGTAACAGTAGTGTGTGAGGTTATCACCTGGATCTTTGTGCAGAACAGTGTCAAGGCTGAAGTGTCCCTTTACCATGACTGTAGACTTCCCCTCTTTTTCTTCTCACAGACCTGCTGGAAATGGAGACACAATGGGAGAAGACAATGTAGCAGTTTTTCTTGCATTCGGATGATTGGAAAGGAACCATTGCAGTAGACAACAGTTACTTCAGCCCTAACAAGAGCAACAGCTGCCATTGGTTGTTGCAAGGCACCTAGAGGGAGAAGATTGACCCTGGAGGAGAAGAGTTTTGGCTCAGAACTGAATCTACAGACTTGGGAGCAGCTATCTGCAAATGACTGAGAGCCAGTGGAGAAGAAGACTAAGGATGCCCCGAGGCATCATGTCACACCATACCAGCTGCTGGAAGAGGTCCTGTGCAAATAAGGACTGGATGGCAATCTCATCTTGGTAGCCCTAAAGGTTTACACTGGTTTGAAAAATTCTTAAGAGGTGTAGAAAGCCAGATATAAGTGGGGGTGTCCTCTTGTTGCCCAGCAATCATCCTCATAAGGGCTAAGGGCCTTTGAAAGAGGGTGGCACTTGTGGGTGGTCCAGGTTGTATGGGCAATAGTAACTTCCTTCATACTCAGAGGAGACCTGCAAGATCTGACTGCTTTGGTCACAAACTATTTGAGCACTAACCAGGTGGGATCGGTTTCTGTTCATAAAGATTGCTGGTTCATGATAGGGCACACTGTGCTACTGATTGCAAACTGCACTTCTGGGAAGCTGTTTAATGTTTCTGGAAATGTGTAATTTCTGTAATCAACTGGGGACCTCTCTAAAATTTTACAGTCCTCTGCTTATAAGTGCATCCAGGATGTCAATGAGGCCGTATTCATGACACCCTACCTCATCGTCTTAATCCCCCTTGACACAGCTAGTCAATCAGAGAGGGCATTAGAATTCTCAGGCATCACCAGCTTCCTACAAGTGCAAGATACAAATACTTATATACTCTTGACCCAGCCAGCATGGTCAAACCTTCAGTTTTCAGCAGTACCTCATTTCCTTCAACAGGTGTCACTGAAGTTCCACTTCTTACTGACATTGCTTAACCAATGTTAAAGGTTAGACAGGAAACGCCACTCATTTCAGAAGATTAACATTTCTCTGTAATGTTTGCTGTGACAGACAATTTTACAGTAGAGATTAACCAGGGAATGTGTCTCCTAGTTTCAGTTACAGCAGAAATGTTTACATGCCTATTGTATGCTGAACTGCCCTATTAGCTGATTGCAATCTGCTGTGTACCTGACAGTGATTAAATTTTAGGTTTCAAGTAATTGATTTATTCATTCATTCTGAAATGTGCAGCTTCTCTCAGTAGGATACATTTTCATGTCTTACACACTTTGCAGGGAAACGTACGTTCTCTATTCCTGACATTATATCAGTTTACTTGTGTGTAAAATTTGAAAATGTATTAAGTTTAATGTTTCATTTGCAGCTCATACCTAAATTGCCCGTGCATTCTTCACTGCACGTGTGCATTTGGTCACTGGCTTTACTTCACTGGGCCTAATTGATAGAATGTGTCAAGTGCATTCAGGTGTTAAGTAGGAACATTTCTGCAAGCAGTATTTCACAATTACATGCTTAAATGTTTGGGCTGGATAATTATTTAATTGGTTTAGTATATTGAACCAAGGTTATTCAAGAGATTTTTAAATATATTGAATTTGGCCTAAGATCTGATTTCATTGAAGTGATATCAAGCTGGAAACAATAATCTTAAATATGCAAATATGCCTTTTGATTATTATTAACCAAAAATTAAATGGAATGCATTGAAAATATATAAAAGTAAGCAAAATGAGTTTTGCTAAAGGCTAAACTATTGCAAAACGCTACTTGCCTTGTTAATCAAGTGACCAATTGTTTCATATTTTGTTGTCAGTTGTAACAAATTAATGAAAGCTACAAACGTTTTTTTCAGTGATCTTTTTGCAGTCTTGGAAAGTCTTTCTTTTTATCTTGCTTAAGTGGATTGACTTTTTTACATAAGTACCTGTAAATCTTTAAAATGTTATTTTGATAGTGTACTGTCTTACTTATTACTGCCATTATAGTGTTTCATAATTGTTTTGATTTTTAATGGGATGTGAGTGGAGTATCCAATTCCATCAAAGTGCGGGAAAGTGATAGTAAAGAAAGGATAGAAGCACATCTAGTAGTTGGCTATTCCTGAAATTGGATAAATGAAAACCAAAAGAACAGTGGATGCTGGAAATCCGAAACAAAAACAAAAATTGCTGGAAGGGCTCAGCAGGTCTGGCACCATCGGTGGATTGAAATTAAAGTCTCGGGCCCAGTGACCCTTTCTCAGAAACATACACAGAAGATAGGAGCAGGAGGAGGCCATTAGGCTTTTTGAGCCTGTTCCGCCGTTCTTCATGGTCATGGCTGATTGTCCAACTCAACAGCTTAATCCTGCTTTCTCCCCATAACCTTTAATCCCGTTTGCCCCAAGTGCTATACTTAGTTGCCTTTTGAATACATTCAAAGTTTTGGCATCAACTACTTCCTGCTATAATGAATTCCAGAGGCTCACCACTCTTTGGGTGAAGAAATGTCTCCTCATCTCCGTCCTAAATGGTCTACCCCGAATCCTCAGACTGTGACCCCTGGTCTGGACACACCCACCATCGGGAACATCCTCCCTGCATCTACCCTGTCCAGTCCTGTTAGAATTTTACAAGTGTCTATGAGATCCCCCCTCGTTCGTCTGAACTCCAGCGAAAACAATCCTTCTCTCCTCATACGTCAGACCCACCATTCCTGGAATCAGCCTGGTAAACCTTTGCTACACTCCCTCAAGAGCAAGAGCATCCTTCCTCAGACAAGGAGACCAGAACTACACACAATATTCCAGGTAAGGCCTTACCAAGGCCTTATAGAACTGCAATAACACGTCCTTGCTCCTGTACGCGAAACCTCTCGCAGTGAAGGCCAACATACTATTCGCCTTCTTTACCGCCTGCTGCACCTGCAATGCTTACCTTCAGCAACTGGTGTACAAGGACACCCAGGTCCCGCTGCACACTCGCCTCTCCCAATTTACAGCCCTTCAGGTAGTAATCTGCCGTCTTGTTTTTGCTTCCAAAGTGAGTAACCTCACATTTATCCAAATTATACTGTATCTGCTATTGATTTGCCCCTCACCCAACCTGTCTGGATCATGCTGAAGAATCTCTGCATCCTCGTCACAGTTCACCCTCCCACTCAACTTGGTATCATCTGCAAACTGTGAGATGTTACATATTGTTCCCTCATCCAAATCATTAATATATTTTGTGAAAAGCTGGGGTCCCAGCACCGATCCCTGTGGTACCCAACTAGTTACTGCCTGCCAATTTGAAAAGGACACATTAATTCCTACTCATTGTTTCTTCTCTGCCAACCAGTTTTCTATCCATTTCAATACACTTCCCCCAATCCCATGTGCTTTAATTCTGTGGTATTTTGTCAAATGCGTTCTGAAAGTCCAAATATACCATATCGACTCTGCACCCCCCCCCCCCCCCCAGCCTTGTCAACTCTACTAGTTACATTTTCATAGAATTCCAACAGATTTGTCAAGCATGATTTCCCCTTCACAGATCCTGAACCTTCCTGAAACTGGGTAGTGCTTCAAAAATATTGATGGCCTATATCATTTGCCAATAATTTGCAGAAATCAATTCAAGTACTATTGCAGGATGAAACTTTAATTTTCATCACAATTTTCAATTTTGTCAAATTAATCTTAATCACTTAAGCTACACATCACCATGAACATCATCAACTTGAAAATGCTGAACCTAATGAGCATTTTGAACTATGTGGTTATTACGATTTGTCAGTTTGGCTTCCCTTTGTCTTTTTTAAACATTGCTACAGCTGAGTTAATTTATCTTAAAAAGCACGTACAAATGAAACCTAAAGTGACAAAGTACTAACTTGACAGTTTGGGATTGTATTGGGGAAATTGTTCCAAGGATGCATCCCCATAGACTCCAATGATTCCACTGGAACTGAGTTCATGTAAACAGAATAAATAGGGAAAACCAGCTCAGAACATACTCACTTGCTGAGGTCTGGATTGATTTTGTACATTGACTTATCCCTGTGTATATAATAACATTTCAAACAACATTTTAAAATGTTTATGCAAACAAATAAAGTCAACAAGCCGTGTGTCCCTTTGAAAGTTTTGTTTAAAAAAATTAGTTTTGTAGTTATCCTATAAAGATGGATACTGTAGTAGCAAAACTCCAAATGTCGCCGCACAGATCTCTGTCTCTGAACAGTTCTCTTTAGAGTCTAGCAGCCAACATGTTTATTAAATGGTTGGAAATGATCATGGATTGACCATCTTACAAAGGCCCAGCAGGACCATTTTAATTCATACCTCATGTTGAATCTTTACAGCCTCCCACTGCAGCAGATGCCAATTTGCAGGATGACCAACAAGGAAACATATCACCATTACTGGAGATTCTGACAAATTCTTATTGAAAAACAATGCATTTGGGAGTGAAACTCATAATTTTAGGAGATTTGCCAGTCTCTTAGAGCGATTTTTTTTTCATTTCGTACCAATTTCGGTCTTCTCCTCTTCCAAACTAAACATGACTTTGTACAAATTGAATTTTAAAACGCTAAACATATTCATATCTTCTATTTTTCTATTTGACTCTTTGTTCTAGTTCCTTTGTAATCAACTGCATTTCAGTAAAATATTTAAGGGCCAGCATTTGCCAAGCAGCAAACAAATTGTTCCACTTGTTCAAAGACATCCTGAGGGGTTTTGCCCAAATGATGCCCATCTCTGAGAGCACCTGGAGTCTGTATGAACGAAAATAGTCCCCCCCAAAAAAAGTGAGTTTCCTTAAACCAAATAGAAGGCACAGATTATTAATGATCCTTCAGCATTGGAACCAGGAAGGGCCTGTTAGAATGCAACCAAGGACTGGTGATGCTGGAAATCTAAAACAAAAACAGAAAATGCAGGAAAATCTCAGTAGGTCTGGCAGGATCTGTGGAGTAGTACACCATAGTGAGAGGCTCTTCAAGAAAGTAAAGACACCCTTGCACATCACTGACCATGTTCTCTTTAGTTCAGCATGTGAATATGGCATTTCCAATGCATTATCTTCTAGGGAGACGTATGGAAGATGTTACAGAAATACTAATTCCAGGTGACACATTGGCTTGTTTGATTACATTTCTTAGCTGACATGACAAGGAGGCAATTTGTGCAAACAATGTATGATTGCTTGGGGCTATAGTTTATAATGAACATTGTTGGACAATGAATGACCTGCCAATGTAGTGCAATTTGATACCAGATGTGTGGCATTACTGAATCAGAGAATGCATGAGTAATACATTTTCCTCTAATAGGGCCTGAAATTCAAATAATTTTACTCCACTCCTGAGGAAAAAGTATCAGAAACTTACTCTCCCCACTCCTTGTGCAGTGTCAGCATTTTGTATCTTTTTTTAAATTCATTCACGGGATTAGGGCATTACTGGCTAGGCAGCATTTGTTGCCCAACCCTAAATGCCCAGAAGCAGTTTAAGAGTCAACTACATTGCTATGGGTCTGGATCATATGTAGACCAGACCAAGTAAGGATGACAGGAAGGACATTAATGAATCACATGGGTTTTTCCTGCTAATCAACAATGGATTCATGGTCATCATTAATTTCAGACTTTTAAATGAATTCAAATTTGACCACTTGCTGTAGTGGAATTTGGACACGGGTCCCCAGAACACCATTATCAGCATCTCTGGATTAACAGCCTAGCGACAGTACCACTAGGCTATCACCTCCCCCAATCATTTTTGTGTAGTTGACTTTGGATGAACTTTGTGTTCTTGTGTATGACTTCAGGTGCCTGAAATGTAGGGTGATCCTTCCTCCCCCCAAATCCTTCTTATCCCTTTCTGGTTTGCTGTCCAGGTGCCCTTGATGATCCATCAGCTTCACTAACCCCCAATTCCATGCAGCTCCATTATTTAACAGTAATGCTTAGATTTAGCCTGAGAGCCCATCGCTTTACAAATTACTATGCTCTATTTGACCTTGCAGAGGCTAGACTGATAATGACCTGTGAAAACTCACATCCTGCAGGAGTTCCCTGTCTCCTCCTACGCTCTTTGAGATCTCACCATTCTATCTCAAGTTGACCCTTTCACAAATGTTATTTATTCAGTGATTGAGTCCAATGAACTCCATCACCAGAGCTGAGTTGCTGAATCTCTGTAAGACTTCAAGGATTTTCCCTGGATAAGCCATAAGACCATAAGATATAGGAGCAGAAATTAGGCCATTCAGTCCATCAAGTCTGCTCCACCAATCAATCATGGCCGATAAGTTTCTCAACCCTATTTTCCCACTTTCTCCCCATAACCCTTGATCCCCTTGACAAACATGAACCTATCTGTGTAGGTCTTAAATATACTCAATGACTTGGCCTCCACAGCCTTCTGTGGCAATGAATTTCATAGATTCACCACTCTGGCTGAAAATGTTTCTCCTTATCTCCGTTCTAAAAGGTCTTCCCTTTACTCTAAGACCCTCGGGTCCCAGTCTCTCCTACCAATGGAAGCATCTTCCCAACATCCACCCTGTCCAGGCCATTCAGTATTCTGTAAGTTTCAATTAGATCCCCCCCTCATCTTTCTAAACTTCAATGAGTATAGCCCCAGAGTCCTCAAACTTTCCTCATATGTTAAGCTTTCTATTCCTGGGACCATTCTTGGAACCTTCTCTGAACCCACTCCAGGGCTAGTACATCCTTCCTGAGATATGGGGCTCAAAACTGTGCACAATATTTCAGAGCCTTATAGAGCCTCAGAACTACATCCTTCATTTTTATATTCAAGTCCTCTCAAAATAAATGCCAAAGTTGCAA